ATAATAAATAAATAAAAAAAAGAAGAAGAAAACAAACAGACATTTCTTTTTTTCTTATTTTCCAATTTATTTTCTTATTTTGTATCTGCACATCAGTCAGGTTAGTTTGTGAAGATAGCTTTTATTGCTACGTAGGTGATATATATACTTATATATCATGGACAGTATTTTACCCACCGTGTTTGTTTACAGTGTGTTCCGGATATGCTTTGTGCATAACTCATCTCTTCCAGTTAATTGGTAAAGGTAAAGGTATTTGACTCCTTTTGGCCTGCGGCTCTTACTCGCGCCAGAGTAAGCGCAGGCGAAGAATTTCTTAGACAGTGTTTTTTTAGATCTTAAGGCCGACATACGCTCCCCCCCCCCCCCCACACCCCCAATTCCTCCACCTTTTCCGCCCTTACATTATCCCCCCCTCCCCCCCTTCTCGGGTGGAGAAGATGCAAGAGGAAGTTACTTTGGGGTGTCGGTCTCGAGGCGGAAAATCGACACATGAAGGCCGTGTCATGTGTATATGATGGATTGATTTGTGTTTTTACAGGGAACGGTATTCGTGCAATCGAAGCATTATGGTTTTACTCCCCTTGTTTATTTTTATTTATCTGTTTTTTATTTTTTAGTTATTTTTATAATATTCTTTTTTTTTTTTCTTATTTTTTTTTCTTTTTTCTTCTTTTTTTTTCATTATTGATATTATCATTATTATTATTTTTTTTTTTTTTATTTAAACCAGGCATTTCTTGCTATTAAGGATGCAGATTCATGTATCATATATTCTTGCAATTTTTGGAGATTTTAGTAGTAGATATTTTTTCTTGTAATTGTTTCTATAACAGTTTTTATATCTTCCAGAAAACATGCACACTCACACACATACACGCACACGCACACTGCACACACACACACACACACACACACACACACACACACACACACACACATGCATACACACACACACATGCATACACACACACACATGCATACACACACACACATGCACACACACACACACATGCACACACACACACACACATGCACACACACACACACATGCACACACACACACATGCACACACACACACACACACACATGCACACACACACACACATGCACACACACACACATGCACACACACACATGCACCCAGACACACACATGCACACACACATGCACACACACACACACATGCACACACACACACACATGCACACACACACACACATGCACCCACACACATGCACCCACACACGCACCCACACACGCACCCACACACGCACACGCACCCACGCACACGCACCCACGCACACGCACCCACGCACACGCACATGCACATGCACCCACGCACATGCACCACGCACACGCACATGCATGCACACACACACACACACACACACACACACACACACACACACACACACACACACACACACACACACACACACACACACACACACACACACACACACACACACTTCCAGAAAACATACATACATATGTACATATATAAATACATACATATAATTTTTTGTTTAAATCATTGATTTGGGAAGATATTCTGATCATGTACTTATTTCTCAAGAGGAATTTGATTCCTTAAACCAGCTAATATTTCCATCCCATTATTACAGCCACTATATATAAGAAAAATCTCTATATGTGATTTTATTATTTTTTATTCAGGTCCTATAAAAAAAAATTAAAGAAAAAAATTGTAAGTTTTTTTTATGCCCTACAAATCAGTGATAACTTTCAGCTAAAAGGTGCTTTGTTGTGCCTTTTCTAACATAAATTTAAGTCAGATATGATGTGAACTTTTATGATATGAAACATTTCTTTCAAGTGTACATGATTTTAGATATTTTAGATAAAAAGTCTGTGTTTTTCTAAGCTTCTTGAATCCCCCCCAGGGTTCTTATAAGCATGTGAAGGTAAGATTTTATTCCAGTCTTGTGAGATCTTTGTCATTGATGAAAACCCTTCAAGAACACATCTTTCAAATCAGAATATTTTCTAAATTATGTTTTGTCTCCAAATCGTGTAAGCTTTCAAGAAGTCTAGATCTGAGAGAAATTCAAGACCTACCAAAAGCAGTGGAGTATTAAATTTTTCAGTTGGTTGGTTAGTGTATGTGAATGAGGAAGACATTCAGCCATGTAGAAAATCAGTAAGGATCTCTGATTTGGGTTTTCTGTATTTACATTTGCATTAAATTAGGACTAGATTTCTACACAGAACAATTTGTCTTTTTTTTTTTTTGCCATGCTTCTAGTGCACAGGCTAAAAGTTGTGTTGATTCTGAAGGGTTTATTCAAGTTAGATGATTCTTTTCTTACTGAGAGATAACCATCAAGCCAGTATTTGATAAAGATAAAAAGACCATTTTTATTTTTTATCTTTACAGTTTTTATTACTCTTTAAGGAGACCTTTTGCCTATGGCCACCCCCCCTTGACAGCATGTTCTACCTTACAGACTGTGTTGATCCTAAACCTGTACTGCAACCCCCAGAACTCGGCCAAGTCAGCTGATGGATCCCACTGTGAGTTGCCTTCAGGACCTTTGTTGTTAGAAGCAAGTCTTTGGTCAGAAAAGGCTATTTCACTTATAACGTTAATTGACTGGTAGAATGGGCATAGGCATTGACAAGAGTCAACTAAGCAAAGATAAGTAGATAGGTAGGAAGTCATTAATCAGAAAGTTATGAAGATGATCACTTAAAGATTCCTTTTATCATTTCAATTAAGAAGAAGAGGTTACAATTAGAAATTGATAAAGAATTCCAAGGACTTTATTGAGCCGGACAACATAACAGATATTTACCCCTGCCTTGTTGTTTCCTCGGGACTAGCAACGGTCAGCGATGAGGAGATGCAGGAGCACTATGACAACTTCTTTGAGGAGGTTTTCGTGGAGTGCGAGGATCGGTACGGAGAAATCGAAGAGATGAACGTGTGCGACAACCTTGGGGACCATCTTGTTGGCAATGTGTATATAAAGGTCAGATAAGTGTGGATGATATTTTGTTGTGGAGTTTGGAATCTGTTTTTGTTATAGTATTGGTGTAGATGTATATTTAAAGTCATAGATTCAGCAATAGATTCTTTTTATCTTCTTTTTCTTCTCTGTTTCATTTTCTTCTTACTGATATAATGAAATAACATGTAACCAGAAGAAGAAAAAAAAATCCTCTTCTAATACATACAGTTCAAATACGAAGAAGATGCCGAAAAGGCTGTTGTCGACCTCAATAATCGGTGGTTTGGGGGTCGAGCAATCCATGCAGAGTTGAGTCCTGTAACCGACTTTCGAGAGGCATGTTGCCGTCAGTATGAAATGGGGTGAGTGCTCGTGTTCGTGTTTGCTGCTTTTCATATGAAATAGTAATTTGTTCACTTATAAGATACATCATTCACAAGAAAATGTTTCCTAGTATATTTAAAGTTTATGGAAATCATGTGAGTTTTAATCGCTCAATGATGTTGCCAGAAGTCTCTAGGTGTCACTAACTCTGGTGACTTCTGACACTTGTCCTGCCATTTGGTCTGGGAGTCCGTTACTCACCCTAGTGTGTCACAATGCCTATAATGTACCCATCGTGGTGAGTCAATTTGTTATGACGACTATAGGCATGGCCTGGCAGCAAGAGGTTAAGCACACAAATAGCATGTAAAACCTTGCACTCATTTTACAATTCCACCAACAGAGAGTGCACACGCAGTGGGTTCTGTAACTTCATGCACCTGAAACCAATCTCTCGAGAACTCCGCAGAGAATTGTATGGACGGAAGAGGAGGAGGTAAGTGAATTTTCTTCAGTTGTCAGAACATATGTTTTGTGTGTGTGTGGAGGGGGGGAATACTGTAAAAAAAATCTGTAATGTAACTTCCTAATGTGGTTATATACCAATGTAGGACTATAATGTAGTACACACAGAGATTTTGACATTATTGTCATCATCATCTTTATTAGCAATTGTCATATAGCTCAACTGAAACTGTATTTTTTGGGGAAGAGAAAATTTTGTCATTGAAAACTTGGTATTAGAGAGTTCACCTTCGTGTTTTTGTGTATAGCTTAAGTATCCTAAGCAGTTTTCTTTTGTATTCAAAATAGATTTCAAACATTTGTTGGTAAAAGTGTTTAGATTTTTGTGAAGATTTCTTCATCATCTTGGTTGTTAGGAGAAATTTTCTAGAATTTTTTTTATATAATTCTACATAAGGATATTTAACTTATTAGATCTGATCACTTCATGTCAATCAAAATATGGGCATTAGACTTACATTGAGCAGCCACTCTGACAGGTATGTGGTCAGGTGCACATGATATTTGTGTACAGTGACAAGACTATGCCTGCTCTTGCAATATTATTTTCTCTTTTTATGCATAAGCGCTTTTAGCTTTTTTACCATTTTCCAATCTCCATATTTTCACTTGATTTACTTTATCCAGATGGTATTGTACTGTTTTCCATGCACAGACTCCGTATCATCTGCCTAAGTAGTCCATAACTCAGCACAAGAATAATAATAATAATTGTAACATTTTGTTATTTGTGTCTTTTTTTTCGTAATATCAACATTTCTGTAATGCAATCTGCAGCACCATTCACCACGGCCAGGAATAGGATGGTGAGCATGAAAATAGCATCCTCCCTGGAGCTGGCACTATTCCAGTCATGGCTCACAGACATTGCATTCTACACTGGGTTATCAGTGGAAATAAAGCAAAATCCCCTTTTTAACCCAATGGCGCCGGGTGTACAAAAAAACAAAAAAAACAAAGGCGGCACGCCGACTTTGAGCGCGTGAGTAGGGGACATCAGCCCGAATCACTGGCTCGCCGCGCTTTGGCGCGCCGCCGGCTCGTTCGGCTGCACGCCAGCTTTCGAGCGCTTTGTTTACACACCGATCGGCGTCACCCGGCACCAAGGGGTTAAACATCAGAAGAGTCTAATCACCCTCCAATCACATTTCGGCTGAAGACTGGGGTTACGGGAGAGACTCACCATGAGTACACAAACTTCTCGGGAGGTTGATTAGACTGGCTGTAATACAGAAAATTGATTATCATGATAAAAATTTTAATGACACAGGTAATGAAATGTTAAACATTTTTATTTTTCTTGCACTGGGTTTTAGACTACCTAGAGAGATGATATGAAGTATATGCAAAGAAAACGGTCTATTACCATCTTTATAATGCAAATCAAATGACAAATATGGAAAATGGCAAAAAAGCTAAAAACACTTATGTGTAAAAAGAAGGAATAACTTGCAAATAGGAGGCATATAGTCTTGTCACTGCACACCTGTGTTCGTGTGAGCCAGGGCTACAAGCCTATGGGGTTAAGGGAAGAGAGAAAATTAGGGACAAATTTGACAAAATTAAGTTGGATTCACCAGTAAGGTTAGGCACATTACTGTAAGTTTTAATTTTGCTTAAATAAAGCCTTATTGTATCAAGTTTTTGATACTGAATTAGGTAATTAATGCATCCAACATGTGATATAAGGGCTTTTTTTATATTTGATAAAAAGAAGAGGTGAACATCAAAGTATAAGTTCCTTTTAAGACATTTCCCAGATCTTGAAAGGTGTTTCAGTCTTTCACAGACAGCTTCACTCTCTCCCTGTGGATCGCTGGTCTACATCATGAACTTCTCTTGCATTCCAGATCCCACTCCCGAAGCCGCCGCCGCCACAGGTCAAGGTCGAGGTCACGCGAGCGCAGGCGGGAGAGCAAGGACAGGTCCTCGGTGCTCGACAGGTTCTCCACCCACTCTCAGGAAAAGGACCAGAGGGAAGGGAGATTCGGCCGCTACTGAGCGAGGGGTGCCGTGGGTGGCATTGCATTGTATGGTTTTTAGGTATTTAAATTATTTGTCATAGTTTGTTAAATCATTTTACGTGATTGATTTCATTCATATTGTGTATGTTTGGGATTGTCAACAAGCCGGGTTAAAACCGTCTCGAGGTTATTGAATGTTATTCTCATTCTTTGTCACAATAAGAAGTAATGGTAATGATGATAATTATAACATTGATAATGATGATGAAATGCAGCCATTAAACAGAGGTCATTCTCAACTTGCAGATGGAAGTGGCAATATTAGTTTATGTCGTTATAATAAGGAGAGAAATTCACATGTGCAAAATTGTGTTGCATGTCGCAGCTATTTGGTCCCTCCATTACCCTTGATCTGGTTGCATTTTGTGACATTTACATCCTCATTTTGATATTGGACGAAGGCTTTCCACGTAGCTAGAAGATGATGCGTTTAACCCAATGGTGCCGGGTGTCAGAAATCTCTCGGCTTCACGAACTCTGGTGATTTCTGGCAACATGCAGACACTGGGCACAGGAGTCCACTACACGCGTTCTAGTGTGCTGCTGCGTGTATCGGCATAACACACAGACCAATACGGTTTGTTATGACAGCTGTATGCGTGACCCGTCCGAAGGGGGTTAAGTATGAGACATTAATTCATTTAGTCAGGAAACTATTTGTATAAATACTGCATCCTGTAAAAGGTGAAAGCCTTAGGTGTAGTTTTGACTCTCTGACTGAGGAAAAAGTTCATTAGCATTATGTTGAATTCTGTAAAGTAACATAATACTTTTAAGATTTTCCGTGGAAGGTCCAAGGCCACGAAAGGATCTCAGTAAGGTATTTAGGTTTTATTTTGTGTGTGGTGAATATTACCTCTAATACTGTGATGGAAAAAGTGATAAAAGTAACCTTTGATCGTAAAGATTATTTATTTATTGTGAAAGTAAAGGAATTACTACTCGAATGGAATTCTGACACAGGTGGCTAAAAAACTGAAATAAATGGCTTCTTATAGCACTGATAATAAAAAGTCTTTCTTCATGAAATTTAAGGGGAAAATGTAACAAAGGGTAGCTTTAATTTCCTAAATTATAAATATGTAGGGAGAAATTAGCATGATGCAAAAATCAGTGCAGCCAAAAAAAAAAAAAAAAAAAAAAAAAAATGCAATATGAGTTTATTCCAAAATATGGTCTTAATTATCTTGCTAAAGGTATTGCTCAATTTGGTGTCAAGTGAAGTAAAGACCACGAAGGGCTAAACCACTTATTTGAATGAGATTGGATGCAAATGCGAGACCCTGTGCTTTGTATTTTGTTTGGCCTTTAAAATTTGTGAGGGTTAGACTATAAGTAAATGAGACAGGAAAATTAGACTGAATTTGCTCACTTACCCATGATAATTTGTCATCTTCAAAAATGGTGTTTTACGATTACTTTGCATAGTGCCACTCAGCGCTAACGTGCGATTCTTTAACCCACTCACAATGGGATTTCCTGTTACCATTCTGACCCATGTGCTAGTTTGTATGTGTCGTCAGCCACTTGAGGAAGAAACTGGAACATGGGAAGCATAAATTTAATGCATTCTCTGTGCTCCTTGCTGTGGTGTAAATGATTGTTTATCAAATGAGGCTAAAAGGCAGCTTTAAGCTTAGTTTCTCCTCAGTGACTGCATTCAGAGCCAAACAAGCAAGCAGCTGTTTAGCAGGCTCAACCGTGCACAACATGATTGGACATTATCCTGGTGGGGGTGATGGCTTAGGCATGGCATGATGGGACAATATCTGTTGTGAATGGGTTAAGCCTGCAGTTATGCGGGAAGTGCTACCAGCTGAAGTGCTTTTACTAATATATTACAGCTAATTGTAAATGATGACATCCTGAGTGGTAGTTAGTGTAATATCCAATGTTATTTTATGATTTAGTCTTAATACATATACTCCTTCTGATTTTAGTTTTACAGTCTAGTCATGTGAAAATTGTTCACAAAGCATAATTGTCACAAGACTAAAGTAACTAAGATTTTGAAAAAAAAAGTTGTGTATAAAAATCTTGCTGCTTTTGTGGAAGAAATAATGTATAGTAATGACTGTCATGTATCGCAATATATATATTTTGGTATCAGTTTTTCCTTTGGTGCATTTTTTTAATAATAAGGAGGTTTTGCAGGGTCTCATGATTAAGGTTAATTGCACATGTGTAGAAATTAATTTTAGCTCGGAGTAAATAGAAGGGAAGCTGTTTTAATGATAAGGAAGGCTAAGGTGCATCTTCATGTGTAGCAAGTTTTTTTTTTTTTTTATGAATATTTAAACTATTTTATTATAAACTTATTTGACTCTATTTGATTCTACATATTTTTTTAGTTTATAGTGAAGGAAGAATTTTTGAAGCTCTGACTCACTAAAGTTTGTAAATTTTGTCAACACACACATTATGTACATATTTAGACAGGTACTACTTGATCCTCATTTTATTACGAGTTGTCTACGATTTGTTAGCATGTTTTAAGAACTTTGTTTTTGTTTTAATTTTTATGTACTTATTTATTTGTGTACTCTGTTTTATTCACCAAATATATATACTGATTTTTTTTTCTTATTTTTGTACTTCTGTAATAGGCTAACAAAGTAACCATCTTAAGTGTCAGTGTCTGAAAATATATAAATGGTCATTTTGACAAGATAAAAAGATGTTAACCTCATGCTGTTAAGCAAGTCCAACAATAAAATATAAATTTGATTTTTTCTTTCTCTCATTTTACCACCATTTTCAGTGCACATATGCAAATAAACATGATATAAAGAGTCAGCTATGAATATCAATAAATATCCAATGGACCACTTTCAAGGGCAAGATAGGTCACACTGGTCTTGAAAGTTGTACATCGTCAGCTGTGGCAATCACAAGACAGGGTTGTAATTAGTAGTACTGTAAGGCCAAGATTTTTTTTTTATACCTGAAGCACTTTATAGAAATCCATGATGAATCAGTGGTGAATTGTTCACTTCTTATAATGACAAGACCTGTAGGATAAAAATTATTTGAAAATAAACTATGTTGAACTTCATCAAAGAAAGATGTGGTAGCAAAATCAGGAAAAAAATCAATCCATTGATGTCTTGCTTGCATTGTCTGTTATTTTTTTTGCATATAGATGGCTTCACAAGCAGTTACGTTTATGTGCTTGAACCAGGTTTATAACATCACACATCAGTATGCAGGACACATGTCACAAGTGGATATCAATTTTTTCAGTATGCTATGTGTTACATGCGTGCTCCACACATACACACACAACATTGTGGCATTAGTAAATCTTATGATTAATTCCTATATTACTTATCTCAAATATATCTTGATAAAAATAACTTGTAGTATAATTTCTTAAATTATTTCATCCTGTATTCTCTCATTACCATTCTATACAGTGATGTCATGGCTGCCAGATGTATGTGAAGTACAACTATCTATATTTACCCTAAAATGCATTTTCAGTCATTACTGTTTCTCTACATATTCACAACTGCATATCTAACATTTATTGAAGTATGTTTTAAGCCATTTTATATGAATCCCAAATATTTGAAATGTGGCAATCCTGTTGCCTAATATTTTCAATAAATAACGTATATCACATTTGTGCATTTTGTTGACCATAAATTTCCTGAGAGAAATTTTATCAAGAAAAAAAAACAATCTTAATGCAGTATATTTTTCTCCATAGAATATTCTAATGATATATTGGAGTATTTTATATAATAAGAAAACATTTCTGTGCATTCTCCACTTTATTTGTACAGAAAGTCCCCAACTTACGAACATAATGTTGACTGAGAGGCTGTTCTTAACTCCATTTGTCGGGTCCCCATTGCCTTTTTTCCCGTTGTTTTAAAGTTTTGTTTACAATAAGAATACCTGTACATAAATCCCAATAAGTATTTTTGATGGATTGATGCACAGGTAAAGCGAATTATGGCACAAAAATTGGCGGTACACGAGGACACAGTGAACAGATGCTTTCATGTTTATGGCGGGAGGGCGGGCGACTGAGGCGATTGATGCGCACAGCTGAGTGAGAGCTGCAGCGCCACGGCGTGGCAGACTCATGAACTATATTCACGCCCGGGAAATTTGAATTTGAATTTTGCTAGCATCTTTCAAAC